TCCTGTCCTTGTATCTTCTCACCCAGTTCATCAGCTCCAACAATTTCTTCAATCATTTCAAATCTCTTAATCATTGTTTCACGTAAGGCCTGGATCTCCTGACCTGCAAAGGTTTCTAGTGATTTCCCTATAGTGTTAATTTTCTGGTCCCCATTCTGCACCTGTGATTCCAAGATCTTAATCTTTCCTTTCAAAGATAACATATCCTCCTTGAACTGCCCCCACATTTTGTGTAAGTTGCCATCCTTGAGGTATATTCTGTTTGTTACCTTATCAAAACTCTGTGATAACTTCTGAAAGTCAAATTCAACAACCTAGACCCTTTCAGGTAAGTTCCTAGTACCCTTAGATAAGGAGTCAATTTTGTCTATCATGGTATTAATCCTATCAATTAGTGCCATATAATCCCATAATGATATAATATTAAGAAGGAAACTAAAACCTAGGTCTCTTGTGATTTCTTCCAAAGTGGCAGTAAAAGCCACAGCTAGAGTCCCATTAAAAATGAAACCTGCCATTTTACCTATTAGCTAGCAGATGGCGTTGTTTCCAAGTTGCGACCAGAATCAATGGAACTGTGTCAGGACAGATCCTGTCATACTCAAGAAGTTAAATGAAAAGAAAATATATCTCTAAAAAAACACTTCATATTTTTTATGTTAAGTGAATAATCTACTTTAACTTTTATTATTCAAGATGAAATATTCATACCTTTTTTGAGAAAGACATTCTGGAGTATCACTGCATCTCTTACTCTGAGTTAACATGTCTGGACAGAGAAGTGGTTCTCAAAATATGGCACAAAACACATTTGGGGGTCATGTATCAGAAATCCTACATATCAGATATTTACAGTGTAATTTATAACAATAATAAAATTACATAATACAAAAATGAAATAAGTTTATGATTGGTGTTTACCACAACATGAAGAATTGTAGTAAAAGTTCACAGCATTAGGAAAATTGAGAGCCCTGGTTTGGAGAAAAGAAACTGTTTCAACTCTATTCTACAACTTTCCACTACTAACCCTAGAAATGAATCCTAAAATAAATATTTTTAAAAGACAAATATGCAGTCAAGAAGTAGATGTCTGTGACTTTAATCCCAGCACTTGGGAGGCAGAGACATGTGTGTGTCTTTGAGTTCAAGCTAATCTGAATTTCAGAGGACAGTTAGGGTTACACTGTGAAACCCTGTCTCAAAAAAACAAATAAACAAAAACCAAAAATATAAATATAGAAATATTTTATGTGCAATCATCAAGGACTGAAATTAATTAGAAATCATATGAACTATCAGCTCTTGGGATCCAAGGTACTCCTGGGATCTAAGGTGTAATGGAAAGAAACCTCAACATTGCCATCATGAAACGAATGTTTGTAAGGGTGGATGACTCCCTTGTGGAGGTCCTGAGCCTACCAATTCCATGCTGGGATCAGCTTCTGGGGGCCCCTGCCTTTATCAAGAAGGTCACAAGAAAGAAAACAGCTTGGTGCAAATATAAATACCTTTAATGAAAATTATGCACACTCTGCAGAGCCCACACAGCAGCCACTGCATGCAGTGATGGAAGGCAAGGGTATTGTTGGCTAGCCAACCAGACTGTTTAGGCCAGAGGTCCCAGGAGGCAGGCAAGTACCAGAGCAGCAGCAAGCAATGCAGGGGCTGGGGCTGTGGGAGTGCAGGAGCTGTGGCCTGAAGTGTCTCCTGGTTGGTCTCTGGGCCAGCAACCATCTCCCGAATACTCACAGGAGTGCCACAGAGGATGTGCAAGTTATCTGGGTTGGGGTCACAGCAAGCTTATCACTGCAGTGACTCCCACACTGCAGTGGCCTCCTCTGGGCAGCCGGACATGACCCAAGAGGTCAGAAAAAGGTGTATGTAAAATATTCCAGATCACCTGGAAGGCTATGTAACTCTCAGTGGGGTGTTTAATCCTGGCAGGGTTTTTCACACCTGCTATCTCAGCACTTGGGAAATGGAAGCAGAAATATCAGAAGCTCAAACCAATCTCTACCATATAACAAATTCTATACTAGCCTTTGTTTCATGAGATTGTTTAAAAAAATAAGTTTTTTAAAAAATCTTTAATATATTATAGGAAAAATCTTGTACTATCATATTAATTAGGGTAATTTAGAAAGAAAAGTTAATATGTAGTATGAATTTTACTAATTTAAATAAATTAAAATATAGGGAAAGACTTCAGAACACTTTTTCTTCCATGAGGGTGAATTTAGCAGAGTTATCCATAGTGTTTGTCATGCCAAGAACAGCCTAGAATGGCTGGGATAATGGGTGAATATATGATTTTTAAGTTCCATGTACTCCCTTGGGGGTCTATAATTATGTTTCCTTTTCAAAATATGAAACTCTCACCTAACAATTCTTCTGACAAGCTCAAATTCCTGAGTCCCAGGTAGCTGTTGGCTCCTCAAGACCTAAACCTATAAGCTTAAAGATTTCAACTAGTTCAGTCATGCTAAATCATTGATTAAAACTGACTTCTTTGAATAATGCCTTTTTCTGGAGCTTATCAAGTATTGCCAATGTGCCCTCTTAGCAGTCAAACTCTGAATTTTCTTATTCCTGACTAATTAGACCTCAAGGGCATTCCACTGCCTTTAGTAAACTTTGCTAAAAAGCAATTATTTCAGTGAATATAGAGAACTTCTTCAGCATTTGCTTTTAATTAACTTTTCCTTGAGTAAGCTGAAGACAATTCACTATGCCAAGAGAAATCAGAACAGTAAAATACTAATAGACTTCAGTATTTGATGACAAGTGAACTAAGGGTATTTATGAGGAGTCTGGAAATTAAATATTTAATCACTTAGGTGGTAATTCTATGATTTAGAATTTTATATTATAATATTTTATTTATCAATCCATAATTCACTTTATAAAAACATTTATTTTGAAACATTTTCAGACATAATGAGTTTCAGTTATGACCTGTTATTATAACAGCATAGATAATACCAGATATAATTTACAGTACTTCAAAGCTGTCATTATTCATACCAATTATTGAATTATATTATCATGATGATGATGAAATTTGTCAGATTCTTGACTTTTATTCAGAGTTGTAAAATTTATTCAGTCATTTATGTTAAATCTGCAGAACAAAAGAAGGAGATGGTATTACCATATAATAATATGGAAATCTGAATCAGGTTATCAGTACATTATATGCCAAGACAAAATAAAGACCAAACCTCCTGAATCCTTCAACAATGCCTGTGTTGTCAAATGGTTTTCATTTGTAGTTACTATGTGAAGGTACATTTATACTGCCATACATTGGTAGGTAGGTATACTGGCATTATCTTCTAAAAGAAACATATGCCAATATTTGAAATTATTATTATTTTATTATTCTCTCATATATTATATCCCACTTGCAGTTTCCTCTCCTTCCTGTTCCCCCAGTCTCTTTCCCACCTCTCCTTTTGCCACCAGATACCCATCACACATCTTCACTCAGAAAAAAGCAGGCCTCCTGGGAATTTCAATCAAACATGGTAAAATATGCTATTATAAGATCAGGCATGTACTATCACATAAAGGCTGGATAAGGCCACTCAGTAGAGAAGTAAAGGCTCCAAAAAATATCAGCAGAAACCTCTGCCTCCACTGTTATGAATGCCACAATAACACCAAGCTACCA